GGAGACGCGTCCCCACTTACCAGTAGCAGCCAGGATGGGCCCCGTGCCGGCAGGGACTCTGGTGGCGACGCTCTGGTCTGTGCTGGGGCCGGGGAGGAGGCAGCAGCGGCCGGGGGGAACGTGGGGGCCTCCCAGGAAATTCAATTGCGCCGGGGGCAAATGCTATTAGGGAATAGCCAGCAGCTCCCAACAGCCCGTGGCCATTTAGGTAATTAGCGGTGGCCCTGGCTCCCCCTCCCGTGAGTTCGGCACAGCGGAGGCTCCCTCGGGAGAGCCGGGGACCCAGGATGCACCATTCCGCCTGGACCCCAGGGAGCCGCCTGGGATGCCCTCCCCCTGTGCCGGGACTCCCCGGTGATCCCTGGCCGCTCTGGCACATCCTGGCTCTCCAGCCCTGCTCCGCATGGTAGGACAGGGACGGCCCCAAACAGGATTACGGAAAGGCTCTTTGCCCGACTCCCTTTTCTCCTGCAGCCACGGGCGGCTTTCGCGCCGCGGCCCTCTAAATCTCCCCCGACTTGTGCTGGGGAGGCTAATCCCAGCCCAGCTCCCTGCAGCTCCCGCTAACCCTTTGCCATCCTGGCCCTGCGGGGGCTCTGCGACAGAGACAGCTGGGCCAGCAAACCATCCCGCAGGGAGTGAGCCAGCCCACCGGCTCCCCCAGGTTATCCAGGCTGCGGATGAACCTCCTGGGAAACCAGGCTGGGAGACAGCGGCGCCTTCACAGGCAGCAGAGACCTCCCACGCTCAGGACACCTACGGGGCCTGGCAGCACCTCAGCCTGGCCAAGGGACCTGGCCACGGCTGCCAGCAGTGTCCAGGGTTGTTGGAACAGGGTGAAGGCAGGACGGACACCAGGGGATAAGGAGGGATGGAGGAAGAAGCCGGATGCTGTGGCCGGGTGAGGGAGAAGGGTGCTGGAGCAGCCGGCCCTGGGAGCTGGAGGCTCCTCTCCCACCTGAGCAGAGTGAAGATATCAAGAAAAAGGCTCCAAATCGGATTGACACCCCCCTTTCGTCCTCCCTCTAATAAAGTTTATTATCAGCCAGGCTCTAATCCTTTTAAATCCCCCGTGCTGGGGGAAGGGCCGGGATTAGGGGAGGGCAGCGTAATCCCAATGAATTTGTTACAGGGGGATTTAGGCAGCACCAGGAGAGCAGATGGTCCCTGCCCCGGCTCTGGAAAACAACCATTTTCCTTAATGATTCGTAACAAGGATAAAAGGGCAGGGAGAAATGGGGCCAGAGAGGCAGAGCCGAGCCGCGAGCTGGGCACCCGCAGCGACGATGCTCAGAGGCACCTCCCCAACCGCTGCCATTCCCAGTTTTAGTCCTCTGAGCAACTTCTTTTGCAGCAGCAGCTCCACAAACCCTCAGCTTCCCAGTGCTGCTAGCAGCCCCTGGCCCGGTGGACAAGGCCGATGGGCTGGGCTGGTTCTGCTGCCCCATGACCACCCCATGTGCCAGGGACGAGGCAGCACAGCAGCACCTACATTGGCAAAAATAATTTATTGCACTACGACAAGGCGAGAGCGAGGGGGAGCACAGGCAGGTGGGTGAGCGTGGGGTCAGTGGGCCAGGCTCCAGCCCCCAGCACAGCCAGCTGGGAGAGTGGAGGGTCAGGGAGCTGGGGGGATACCCTGAGGCGTCCCCACGGCTACAAGGTTTAGTGGTGCAGAGGGGAGAAGGAGCGAGCATAGAGCAAAGCTAGGGGCCTGAGTACCCGCAGCTGGGGGAGTCCCAGCCCTGGTCCGCGCTGCACTCTTAGCACCCTTGGTCATCCCCATGCAGGACCCCACCACGCTCCTAGGCCAGAAATGAGCCCAGGGAACACAGGAGTGGATGCGGTGTCTTTTCCACAGCCTCTTCCTTGTCTGGCTGCAGCCAGGGGCTCCCTCCGGCCCTGCTCCGCCTTGGGAAATGAGAGCAGAGCACAGCCCCTGCCCACCCACCTTCCTTCCCTTCCGCCTGCCCGAAACAGTGGCCAAAGCCACAGGTGAGAGCTGCAAGAGTGGGGCAGCTCCGGGTGGGGAAGCAGCAAATCCTTCCTTTCCCACTCTACAACCGGCCTTGCTGTCAGCCCGCCAGCGCCTGGCCCACAGGCAGAGGCTGCCCAGGGCCAGAGGCGCTTGGCCCCGGCTCCCTGCTGCGGCTCACGCCATGGGGAAGCCTGGGCGGCCCTTGCGGGAGCGCATGCGGAGCCGGAAGAAGGTGTACATGCCCAGGAGGCACATGGAGGAGAGCAGGTAGAGCACGATGCACAGGCGGCCACCAGGTGCAGGGTGTCACGCTTGCTGAGGCGTCGGCGCCGGCCGGCCGCCCGCAGTGCCTTGCTCTTGAAGTGCTGCTCGCTGAAGGAGTCCAGGTCCACGATGTCATCCTGCGCCTCGCGCGCCTTGCCGTTTAGCCGCACGATGCTGGGCCGGCGCAGCTCCGAGGAGCCCGGCCGCTCCGGAGCTCCCCCTTCCCCTTCCGCACCCTCCTCTGGCGGCTTCTCCTCCTCTTCGTCTTCTTCCTCCTTGTCTTCCTCCTCCTTGTCCCTCTCCGTCTCTCCATCTCTCTCTGCAGGTCGGTTGGTGCTGAGCCTCATGTCGGCTGCTGCCCTCTCCCTGGCCAGGAGCTCCGTGTCAGGCTCGGTGTAGCCCAGGTCGATGTTGCCAGGGGAGAAGTGGCCCTCGAGGAAGCGCAGCACGGCCGGCTCGTCCCACACGTGCACCCCACTCTCCTCCTTGTGGCACAGGGGACACATGTCCGGCGGGGGCCACTGCAGCTTGGGGAACTTGGGGTCCTCTGTGTCACTACCTGGAGCAACAGGACCCAGCACCAGGGTTAGAAATGCTTCTGCCCCCAGCGACAGCAGGGGTGGGCACTAGGGCACCACCACAGTGCCTGCCCCTTAGGGATACTCTGATCTCCCTCCCCTGCCCAAACACTGGGAAAGCCCTGCATCTTCCCAGCCACCTCCAGCCCTGAGGGAACAGGGTCACAGGAGACCTCCCGGCTCCTCTTGGGACACAGTGTCCTCACTGCAGGGATGCACAGGCAGGCTGCCAGCTGCAGGCTGCTCAGCAGGGGGAATGAATCCTGGGATTTGCTCACTGGTGGAGGGGAACGAAGCACAAGCTTTCCTAGGAAATCTCCCCCCCTGCTTCCTGCCAAAAATTGGCTTTATCCCTTGGGCACTGCTCCTTGGCTCTCCCTCTGGGAGATCACCCACAGCACACACTGGTGGGGTCACGGGACCCACCGGAGCTGAGTACCCGGGAGAAAGGAGGTGGCCCCAACACGCAGTCCCGGTGGGACTCGCTTGTCTCCTTTCCAGGCGCACGGCTTTTGTCCCCAGCTCCAGCCGTGCAGCTGGGGCCCAGTGGGCAGGGAAACGAGACCGCTTGGAGGAGCTGTCTCGGGAGAAGGGGTCCTCCTGGGACAGGAGGCAGCTCTGGAAAGCTCTCCGCAGGGAGCCGGATAAAATTTAAGCGCGGCTCCGAGGGGGTGCCCACGCCACGCAGACAGCTGCCGGGGCACCATCCTCTCCTCTCCATCAGCCAGCAGAGCAGCATGAGATGTTGCTTTACGGGCACCTATGAGTGCAGCTTTGGCAGGAGGAGGGCTCACAGCCTCTCTGCTGTGACAGGACCCGGAGCACACATGATTCCCAGTGCTGCCGAGCAGGAAAGAGACACTTCCACATCTCCTCTCCTCCCTTCCCCTTGGAAAAGCGTCCCAGCTTCCATCTCCTGCAGCTCTGGGCTGTGTGTCACGACAGCCCCTCTCCCTGGCCTGGGGCCTTCCCATGTACCCTGTGGCACCAGGCGCTTACCGGCCAGTCGCGCGTTCACCTCGTTGTGGTGCGACCAGAGCCAGAAGACGGCCTCCTGCCGGCCCAGCACCTTGTCCATGGACTCGGCGGCCATGGCCTCAAAGTGCTGCGCGCACTCCTGGCACCCAAAGAAGTTCCTGACGTAGCAGCGCATGGTGCTCAGCACCTCCAGCGGCAGCTCTAGGGGAGGGCAGAGAGGGACGTGTCCAGACCCAAAGCGCCCACAGCACCACGCGTATCCCTCCTCCCAGGCACCGAGCCGATACCTTTGTCCGGGCCGCTCTGGAAGGCCTGGAGCGTGAGCAGGTGGAAGAGGGTCCAGAGAGAGCAGGGGTAGCCGCGGAAGTGGGGCTCGCTGCCCTGACAGCCCACCCAGGTCACGTTGGTGGGCAGCATGGCAGGGTGGGGGTCCTGAAGGAGGGACAGACACAGGGTGAGGCAGCTGGAAGCGAAAGCAAGGCAGGAACGAGGGGAAGGGGGGCCGAGTGCTGCCTTACGTCTGCCTTGTTCTTCATGGCCTCCTTCAGGACATCACGAGGCAGCTCGGGCTCCGTCCAGTTCCTCAGCCAGTCGTCCAGGGCCTGCAGGTAGGTCTGGACGAAGGGGCGTCCGGGGAAGTACTGCACGGAGAGGAGACGCGCGTGAGAGGAGAGCGGCCAGCCCAGCACCCGCCAGGGTGGCCCCGACTCAGCCCTTCTTCCATTTGCATCCCAGCCATCTGGGCCCAGCGCTGGAGCTCGGGTCGAGCCCCTTGGCATCGTCTGAGGAGCGCCAAAAGCTGCCCCAGCAATAAGTCAGCTCAAATCTGATTAGCATCGGCACTTTAAAATGGCACGCGCTCCAGGGAGAAGGGTGAGCGGGTGAGTATGTGCCGCTGACGGACGGACACGGGCATCAGAGGGACTGACCCCACCACGGTTACAAGAGGGCAAGGGGACAGCAGCGGGACAGGGAGAGGAAAAGCAACGGGGAAGTGAAGGAAAAGAGCCTTTTGCAAGGGCTCCCCCCTGAGCCCAAGGGGATTTTGAGCAATTCCATGGATTGCACCGAAAGTCACTAACTCAGCCGGGGAATTTACCTACGATCTGACATTTGTGCTGCGAAGCTCAGCACGTCCCTCTCCCCACATACCCCAGAAGAGGTTTTTCTGCATGATGCCTTGCTTTCCCATCATCCTTTCTTTCCCCACTCATTATTTTTCCCCGCTTTTGCTGAAAAGCTTGGAAACGCAATAGTTAAACCTAGGCCCCGGTGGCCACGGGAGGGTGAATTCCCTGGTTGGCCAGAGTGGGCGGCCGGGCTGGCAGCAATCCTGGTGCCACTGCTCCGACCCGTGGAGGAGAGCCGAAACGGCAGCGCTGGCTCCGCATCATTGGGCTGCCTCGAGCAGAGCCCAGCACCTCCCACATGGAGCTTCCCCTCCTTCCTCTTCCTCACAGCCGAGTGCTGCCGCTCACCCCTGGCCAGGGATGGGGCTTGCTGGGACAGTTCCAAGTGGATCTGGAAGCTGTCCCTCCTCCCTACAGCCTGGCTCCGCAACGGGACGCAGCGAGGGGTAACGGCACCATCATGCGCCCGATGGAAAAACACTGCAGGCTCTGCAGGACCCGACCTCTAACAGGAACCTCGTGGGATGAGGTGTTTATTTAATGAAATATCCCATGTTCCAGAAGGGAAGAAAGAGCAAAGGCAGTAACAGGTGGCAAGTAGAAGGAGAAACGGGTTCAGCACAGCCAGGTCAAGTGCACCTCGGTCCTGACCTCTTCTTACGCCTCCTTTCTGCCCTGTGTCTGCCCCGCTGTGCTCACCCTGCCGCCCTTCACATGTGCACCCCATTCCTTGCTGTGAAAAGGGCATGAAGTCATGATGAAGCTCTAAATTAGGCTATTCCAGAGCACAAGTCAGCACAGTCTCTTCCCCGACTGTAAAAGAAGCCTGCAGAAGCCTGCAGCCCTAAACAGAGCATTCAAGTCAGGAGATGAGAATTAGGCAGCGCAAGCTCCTCTACTCACGTCCCTGCCAGCCCCAGCTGGGGGTCTGCATTTCCGTGGGAAACACCTTTTGCCTCAATGCAACAGCTTGTGCAAATGATGTGGCCACTCTGCCCATGTTGAACCCCAGCTGGGCCCTTGTCTGGACCTTTCCAGCACTTGCTTTTGGCTGCTGGCTCCCATCAGGACTTACAGCCTGCCAGATTAAGGAATCTGCCCCTGTCGAGGATCTCATCTGCAGACTGGACTAGGAGCAAGCTGCGTCTTTGCCTTCTGTTGAGCAGCATCGCCCAAGCTCCTTAATCAAACTCACTGCCTTGAGTCACCGCGGGCAGAACCGCGGGTGCAGCCGTTACGTGGCCGTCCAGAAGGCGGCACGAAAAGGAAAACATCACGAGCAAAGCGCAGGGCCAGAGCCAGGCCCGCTGCCAGCCGCAGAGGGCTCTGCGGGGACAGGGACAGCAGGGAACGGCCCGGGGAGCGGTGAGGGACTCACCAAGCGGCAGGAAGCGCCGCTCACATCGGAGACAGCCACGACGGAAGCCCGCGAGCAGCGCGGCTTTTGTTATCGGCCCCGCAGGGACTCAGCCACATCCTGCGCCGACGTTTAACAGCATCAACAGATATATGGAAATGCAGAGAGGTTCCCTATCGATGCTGAGAAACAGCACTTGCGCCAACAGGCTCTCACAGGGATTTTAGCCTGCTGGATTAAGGCATCCCCAGAGATCCAAATTCCCACCCAAGCTCAGCTCTGACTTGCCGTGCTCCTAGCGCAGGCTGGCCTCGTTGCAGGTGTAGTTCACCCGGCCGAGCAGGCGCGGGACAGGGCAGTGCCACGTGCGTGGCAGGGAGGCCGGCACGCCACACTCCTCCCCCCAGACGAGGCCTCCGCCGTCCTCACCTTGGCCAGCAGCGCCACGTAGCACTTCAAGGCTGACAGCGCGGCTCCCGACAGCACTCGGGTCCGGGTGACCTCCACCCGCAGCGAGTAGTGGAGCGCAGACTCCAGGTCGGCCATGTACACCTTGGAGCTGGGGAAGCAGGACAACGTGCACGATGGCTGTGAGCGTTTTACTCAACCAGAGGCACCTTTGTACCCTGAGGGACCTGCTCCGTGGAGGAGAGTTTTCTTTGCCACAGTGATAAGAGGCTTTCCCTGGCGGAAAGTCATGGTCGTGGCCTTCTGCTGACTCACCAAGGACTCTCCTTGGTCTGTGCACAGCCCTGCACAGACACGGCCCCTCCTTCTGCTCCCACCTGCCTGCCCCAAGGTCTGTCTCCCCCAGGTTCCTGCAGCCCCAAAATGATTGAGCTGTCACCTGCACCTGGCTCCTTGAGAAGGGGCTGGTGCAGGCGGGGGCCATGCAAGGCTGAGGGGCCCTCACCGGTCAGCATGCTTCAGCAGGGCCGTGGTGGTCACATTGGAAGCACTGGAAGTCACATTCAGCTTGTAAGAGCCCCGAGTCACGCCAGGGAGCATCCTCAAGTAGTAGGTGTAGAAGGAACGTGCCTCCATGTGCCTGCGAGGAAGGAGAAGTGTGAGTGAAGCCCCTCTCCATTCCAAAGGGATGCTGGCTGCGACAAGGGGGCAAATTTGGCCCAAGACTTTGAGGTGGACCTAGAATAACCGCTCTGCGACCTCTCCTGCTCTGCCGGGGACACCTCTGCTCCCGAGCACAGGATGACTAAAGCTCTCCATCTGCCACAGCAGCAGGTATCTTGGCCCACACCCCTCAGTGCATCTTTTATTGCGTGAGCCAAGGCTGGGACATCCCAGACACACAGCCCTCCCTGGCACCCTAGAGAGGGAGGAGGGTGTGGGAGCCAGCGAGGGCTGCAGGGCGGAGGGCAGCCCTGCCAAGCCCACCTAGCACATCGGCAGAGCAGCGGGCAAGCCCAGGGGACGCGGAGCTGCCTCCCTCGCAGCCCAGTGCTCACCCGCAAGCAGATGGCGGAGAGGCAGCGTCGTCACAAGCAATTTTCCCCTCCGCCAGCTCCGCGGCGGGCAAACAATGGCTCTGCTTCGCGGGACAGGGCCATCGCTCCTCCTGCTGCCTCTCCTGCTCCCTCACCTGCTGCCGCCCACGCCAAGCAGGTCCCCCCCGGGGAACATCCCCTGTCCCCGGCGTGGTGGCACCAAGCGCCACGTCCTGCACATTTTGGGGGCAGCCTGGGGCTTGCGGCCCCTCCAGGCGCCTCGCTGGCCCGGCCAAAGCTCCATCTGGCCACCTCTTGATGTGCCAGTCGGCGGCAGGAGCCGCTCAGGGAGCGGGCGCCTATTGTTCCCCGCCAGCCATTCTGAGCCAGCCATTGTGCACCGCCTAATGAACTGCTCTGCAATTAGAAATCTGACGGGGAAGAGGGTGAGGCACCAGCCTGGTGCCCTGCCAGGCTTGGGATGCGGTGGATTTATCCATCAAGCAGCAGCGCAACCGGTGGGGATGCAAGAAAAGCCTGTGGCCAAGCGGCTCCAAAGGCACTGGGACCCAAACAGGGAAGGCCACCAAGAGCCACCGGCACGACAGGGCCCCTCCACCATGAGGAAAACATCCCTGTGGCTCTTGCCAACCCGACCGGAGCTCTGCGCTGAAGCCACCTGGCTCTTCCCTCTGGCACATGCATAGCACTGACCATGGTGAGGGGAAAGCCCATGCCCATGGGGCACAGCAGCGTCACCACAAGGCCCTGGCCCTCCCGCAGCCAGGGCCTTCCCCTCCATGTCCCCGGACTCACACGGGCAGGCGGGAGAAGGACCCATTCCTAAGGAGCAGGTATGTAGAAGGGAAGGAGGTCACCCCAAACTTCTTCACGAGCTCCTCCTCGCTGCTCAGCACCCTCCGCACGGCGATGTTCTCGTACTGCAGCATGTCCAGCGTCACCTGCAAGCCAAGGAGCTCCGGGGTCAGACGGGCCAGGGAGCCAGATATCCCAGCCCTGACTGCACCCGCTTTCCCTCTGTGGTGGAGAGGGGCCCCAGGGCTATCTAGCACCCTACACAACACCCCGTGCCTTCAAAGCAGCACACAAACACGAGCAAACCTCCCCAATTTCCTCGAGAGCTCGCAATCCAAGGTGTGAAAGGAGAGTTCACTTTCTGCAAACTGGCTGCGTGTCTCAAAGCAGGACACACGTGTTCAGAGGCCTTCGTGTGAGCAGCCCCTCCTGGCCCGCCTGCTTTCAGCTGTACACACCTCTCTGCCCACAAAGGAGTCGCTCTTCTCGAAGACCATCGCCAGGTACTTGACACTGTTCCTCTGGAAGAAGCTGTGAACCTCGTCTGCACTGTGGGAGAGGAGCGGAGTGAGCGGCTGCGCGCGCCCGGAGATCCCAGCGGGTGCCTCCCGCCCGGCCACGCGGGCGGATGTTTTGCCCTCTCACATGAAAGGAGCTCAGCCCTCATCCGTGGGGATTTGTCACAGGACGGCGGCGCTGGGCTCAGCTTTGCTGAGGCAGCAATTCCTCCCTGCTGAAGTTTCCAGCCCATTTTTCTGCTCTGCTTCACAGCTTCTGTGAAAACTTGCCTGGGTTAGCTGAGGAACACAGCTACGGAGAGGGGAGCTGCACACTCACCCCAGGGGAAAAAAACACAGCAAAGGCTGCGAAGCCGGACACCCTCTTCTCTGCGGGGCTGCAGCAGAGCACGGAGGAGGTCCCCCCAGCGTCACCGGTGCCAGAGGCGAGCCAGCCTCTGTGCCGGCACAGAGCAGCAGCAGAGCTGCTCAGGTCTAGCCCTGCAGCTGAGCCCGGCGTGGCTCAGGGCGGGGACACCGCCACGTCCCTTCCCAGCCCTGCTGCCACCTGCTCTAATTCAGCCCAGGCTGACGAGCAGGTTCCTTAGGAGACATGCCAGGGACAACGAAGGAACCAGGGGAGTCGCCGAAGGAACTAGGGGAGGCGGCGATGAAACCAGTGGCTCACGGCTGCCTGGCTCAGAAAGTCGCCCATCCTGTCCTGGCCACGTCCTAGCAGCTGGCTGGGTCATGGGCGTCAGGGCACGAGTCTCTCCCACGCCAGGCGGGCAGCTCGGCTGCTGCCTCGAGCACGTGGCAGCACCAGCTGCCCCGGTGCCCACGCCTCCCTCCTCCTGCCGCCGGCACCGCATCACGCAGCCCCTCCAGGAACAAAACCACATCGCTTGCCTTTAGTTGCTCCATGCAGCCCTGCGTTTCTCCCTCCTAGGTGAGAATACATCAAACACCTCACCAAAGTCCCGAGATCGGGTCTATCGCGTTTCTCACGCCTGGAAACAACTATCAGTTACTTTATCACAGAAAAGTGCCCATTCAGGCCAGCACTGCCTGCTATTGACACACCGACGTCCCAGATTTCCCCTGTTTTCCATGTCCCTCCATTTTTATGAGTTTTCTTTTTTTCAGTTAAAAATGCATAAAGCAGGCTGTAAATGCCTCTAACCCACTCAGACTACTTCTGTTTCCCCTGGAAGGTGGGTGGGAGTGGAGGAAGCACTCTGCTCTCGCTTTTGGCTCAGGACTTCCATTAGAAATCCCCGCTTTGCTACCCAAACTGCATGTCCAGCTGCCAGGCTCTCCCCAGAGCCAGGAAGGAGGTTATCAAGTAGCTGCCAGATAGAAACACTTGCTTCCACCTCTGGCACAGCCATTTCTGTCCCATCCTTCCCAAAGAGGGGCCGGGAGCCATTCCCTCCTTCCTGGCACCCAGCTCCACAGCCCGTGCGCGGCCTCGTGGCCACCCCTACCTTGCTGGCTCCAGCGGAGGACAGGCGGGCGGCCAGGCGTCGTGGCTCTGCTCCAGGTGGGTGATGATGCTGTGCCGCAGGTCCCGCACTGTGGCGCTGGGATCTGCCGGGGGGACGACACGCGGACGGTCAGGGAAGCTCCCAAACTCCGCGACTGAGCCCAGCCCATCCCGGGCAGAGCGGTGTCGGGCTGAGCATCGCCCCAGGGCTGCCAGCGTCACCCCTGCCACTGCGGTCCCAGCAGGGAGCCCTTGTGCGTGGGGCCACGGGGCTTCCCGCACCCCAGGAACCGCGGCTGTGAATACTCACTGGAAATCCTTATCCCATCTTCTGCCTTCTTGGAAAAAGCTCTGAAAAACTGAAAGGGAGAAACAAGAGAAGGTTGCAGAGAACTGGCCCGGGGGCAGGCAGACAGCCCAGCAGGCAGGTTCCCCATGTCTTGGCCTCTCTGCCTCGTGCCTCAGTTTCCCCACATGGAAACACCTGGGCTCTTTCACAGCTTATCGCTTTCTAAAGCTCATTTGGCATGAGATGAAGGCACAGACTTATCAGCAGCTCTCCTAGGTGCATTCAGGCCCGTCGTTGCATTAGAGCGTATCGACTGATACCACAGCCAGGGACCTCCCTGGCACAGCCCTGCGCACCCTTGCCCACCCCGAAAAGCCGCCAGGGTGTCACCACTGTCATCACCAGGCCGAGACACCGCAAGGACGAGGATGGGGGCAAAAAGCCGCAGCAGAGAGAGCCCGGGGCGAGCGCGGGTGCACAGGAGACAGGGAGGAGAGCCGGAGGCAAGTAAGGCCTTATGAAAAGGAGGATCAAACGCCTTGTCTCTGAGCCCGGGCCTGGCTGCGCACGGGCTGGACGGACCTGTTGGCTGCTCGAGCGGCCTCTGCC